TCTGTTATTTTAGAAAAACTGATGATGGTGGAAAAATACACCGAAACGTATTTTGATTAATAAATAGAGACAATAAATGGCTGAAACCCAGGAATGAATTTGATTTGGAATTATATGTTACAAAACATGATGTTTCTCCACCATCTGTAACTCAATTTATCCTAAATCTGCTGCAAAAAATCAGCTCTGAAAGAACCATCAGAGCACAAAACTTGAATGCCAACTAGTATAGATAGTGGCCAACAAGGCATGTTGCTTTCTAGAAATTAATCCTCAAAAAACTGCTAGCAGCTGTCCAAATGAATTTATTTCAGATTTGCGAAAAAACCCTAAAAACGCTTTATCCCGGCAGCATACGGTGTAAAAAACCGGGTAAGCGGTTATGCTTCGCAGGGTGTAGCGAGGATTAGAGAGGGTCTAACACCTTTTTTGTATTCAGATTTACCTTTAAAATGATGTCATTTGGAATAATCGACCGGCAATATTGTCAACCGTTTTTAGGGGACTGCCAGCCAAGTCGTCAAATTAATCTGAACAATTTTTCCTCTTGCTTTTCCACAGATATTGTGTAATGAAGATTTTAAGTTCTTTGTTAGAAGATTTTTCAAGTGCTCAATTATACAAGAAGATTGACACTCTGGTGCTCTCTTCAACATGACCGTCAAATTATGTAAAAATCAGTTTGTTGACACAATCGCCTCATAAAACCTCGATTGGACAATGGAGAAACGGCGAAACGAAATATACAAACAACCTAAATCCCACCCTGAGGCTAAGGTAGTTTCGTTAAGGAAAAAGGGGGTTGTTCTGGTCTGTTGATCGGTGCAGCTGCAAGTTGAGCGCCCAACTTTACCATTTCGTGTTCCAAGCCAAATGTGATTTTTGGCTTTGATTCCGAATTGGGCATGAAATCAACGTTTCCGCTATTTGAACGATATGTGCTAAATATAGTATAACGGAAAAAAAATTGTGTGATTAAGCTATTAAAATTTGGGGCATTAGAAGAGGGAGAATTAGCCGGTCAAAGTTGGTTAAATTTTGTAACTTATGTTTAGTTAACTGGGGAAAATTCCCCAAAAGTATTTTATTATGTAAAATCGCTTTGAATATCTTCTATGGAAAGTAAAAGCTGTATGAAGATGATGCTCAGTACAATTCCACAACAAAATTACATTGTAATCATTTTATGTCAATGCCTATTAAAAGCATAAGGCAATTTTTATTCTTGATTTGCCTTTAATTCTGCATTTTTTATTTATTAAATATTATCGGACTTTTCCAACCACATAAACCAGCTTCAAAATTAAGTTTTAAAATCACATCTGCATAAAATCTTATTTAAAAAATACTCTAAACTCTGATAATTGCCACTCTGAATACAAACACCCTGTATAGAGTGTAATCCTACTTCACATTTTCCGCCAAACTTCAATAGTTTTCTGGTCTATCCGGTAGTTACCAGCATAGTAGGCTCATTTAGTGTCGTTTGCATGCAAGTGTAGTAAAACTGGCAGGCCTATAACTGATAAATCGTCGATTATACGCGCAATTTTTGCGTGAGTTTCGGACAAACTTTTCTTTTTTATTGTTTTGGGAAAATTGGACTAAACAACTCGAGGGGCGTTCAATTGGGGCAAAAATTTACCCAATATGGCTTTCCAAAATGTTTAAAAATCCAACAATTTTGTTACATTCATCAGGTTTGAAGATAGTTTGAGTTGAGATAGTTGATTCAATGGGCGAAATAAGCAACTTTTTCAAACTTAAAATTCCTGGTAAATTTAACTAAATCTCTTTTAGAGGCGCATATTTACTCATCCGACCACTTTTGCACTGTTGCTTGAAAGAACGTCTCTCAAACATCAAAGAAGCGCAATGAAAGTGACCAAACATTGTTGACCAACTTTGGCAAATTGTTGATGAAAATGCGACTCTGCAAACTATCGAAATTACCGTTTTATTTACCCGTGCTAGTTTAACAATGAACGACTAACAGGGGGGTAGTTTCGAGCAACTCGTACTTCAGTGTTATATATTTTGTAGTGCCGTCGAGTCAAACCACCCTTACAGTGGCAGCATGTCGAGGGTGGCATCCAGTGGCGTATCAAACGATTGCTAACTTTATTGCCGCTCTAAGAATCTACAGATTATGCCTATAAGATACATAGAGAAGTTCAACAAATGTTTTTTAAATAGGCTATAGAAGAATGGTTGGGGCTTTTATTGATGAGCATAGAGCTATGAGGGCAGGCACACTTGCACAGGTATTTTTGTTGAAAGTTTAATTCGCACAGCAAATCTACACCACTGTGGCGAATATTTCTCTATTGAATCGACTACTGTTGGGTCGAGGGGGCGCAAATAACCACCCTGAACGCACGCAGCACCTGTTTGGCAAATCGTAAAGATTTGACATCGAGATTTTAACGCTTATCATTTTATTGGTGCACGTGGTCTGTTAGCATTGCCACTTTATTAATTCACCATTAGCTGGATGATTTTTAATGGATTGCAATTTGGACCCATAAACACTGAAAGCTTGAGGATACCTTAGAAGCCCAGTTTCTGAGCAGACAGTAGCAAAATATTACAGTTATGACTGGACCAACACGGTGCTTGGAAGTTGGAAGTGTTTTTCTTTAAGAAATATCACCGGCATGCCCAAATGTCTAAGCTGTAGGTTACAGTTTCGTCAAGCCATTTTCCTCGTTGTTCAATAATTTACAATATTGAACAGCTTGAAAAAATCTTGAAAGCGAAGCAAGAAAACTTTTGATATGGAAAATACTTAAAGAAGAAGCACAGTTTTCCCCGGCTACAAAAGCAAAAAAATAGTAAATTTCGTCACTCATCAATCACTTTAACGAATTCAACAATACAATGCCAAACTCGAAAACGTTTATGAATAAAAAATGCAAAATAGTTTCGAGAGCCCACCGGCTCATAATTCAAACAGTTTCGACAGCAAGAAAAGTACGCCCCGCTCGCCTTCAAAGGGTTGTATTCAAACACCCTTTCGGCTTATTATTCCCGGTCTAACCGTGCAGAATTTAAACACCCTGTCCCGCATTTTTTATGTTCATAAGCATGTGTCTGTGTACCGAAGTTACAATGAAGCTTTTACGCTCGTTACATCGTTAAGCGTTTAAATCGGCAAAACATCCTTATTGGATACGCGGCTCGAAATCGATTTAATTTTTGAAGATTTTTTTTGAAAAGTTTGGACTCTGGAGATCTGTTTGCTTGTTTTTGAAAAAGTGTTTTGCAATCATGGCATCACTTGAGTGCCATTTAGACAAATTTTAGCTGCAAAAATCACAATAGAAGTGTGTAAGTCACACACGAGCTTGTGTGAAAATCAAGTTATTTATTTTGTCGCTTTCAATGGTGCCAGGAGAGGAAAACATTCATAAATCTTCACCTGACTTGAACGTGAATCAGGCCTTTAGGCCTCTTTTGCACAACATATCGAGCTCTACGACCTTAAAGTTTTATAAAAATGGAGCAAAACTCTGATCTGAGAGCGCATGTGAAAATCAAGTTCCGTCGCTTTCAAATTTCATGAAAATTGAGCAAAGACTAGTCGGAAGGTTTTGATAAAGAATACTGACTATTTATTTTAACATACAAAAGTAACCGTATGAACGGCTACGTTTGTTTATCTTTAGCCGAGAAATCTACTTGTTTACGGTAAATATCCAAACCAGGTGGATCGTAAAATGAAAATTTCTAAAAAGATGTCAAAAACAAAAAAATTGAAGTCGGACAGCATAGTAGAGCAAATGAATCAACCGAAGGGCCAACAAGCAAGCGATTATATCATTTGTAAGTTCTGTAGCTCGGTGCGTTTTTAATGTGATAAACACCTTAATACCGCATAGGTTTTTTCTTAAAGCTGAACATTTAGTTCAGTTAATAATAATGGGCAACTGACTAAAAAACGTCTGGATATTCATTCTGTGTTCAAGTGCAGTGTGTAATTTTTGGAGATTAATGGGTAAGAAATGGAGGATGGGGCGCCAGCTTGCAGAAAGCTGGTAAGAAGGACATTCCCGCTGGTGAACAGCGCGTTAATAATAGGCTGTGAGCAATTCTGGCCAAGCACTGAGATTTCTCGCTGTTTTTCTATACGTATAGCAAAATTTAAACAAATTAAATTAGGAATTTTCAGGGGCTGGAATCCGTCCGATTATTTGTATTTTTTTGTTTATTGTATTATTAGAGCGCCTTAAGAGCTTGTGAATGATCCTGGCCTACCATTTATATTTGTGCAAATTTTCCACTCCATTTAAATTTTATTATATGATTTATGTACTTATCTTCTTAACAGGCAGTTTTTTGCTAAATATCTTTGCAAAAGTCCCTATTCACCAGCTTTGAACCGTTTATATTTTATTTTATTATTTTGGTACTTTGGAACTACATATTTGCTGATGCACTTTTTTTTTGAAAAAAGAGGATTTTCTCAGTGCGAATTTCTTAAGAAATCTCTTAAAAACTTATAGACTTACCACCTCTACAAAAAAGGAACTTCTTAACACCAATTTGTAAAATGGCTTGATAATCGCTTCTTCTATTTTCTCTTATTTTTCCGTTTTGCCCAATTTATTTGTTTTTCTCGCATATAAATTAAATAACTTCCTATAAATCGGAAAAAAAATTGGTCGTAAACGTGAGCATCTGTTTATCTGTGCGAGTTCAATTTCTGGCCATTTAGGCGAGTGTTCTGTGGCAAATATGCAAAAAACACCGAAGGATCGAATGGTGCAGGCACTATTGAGGTGCGAAGTCAACTTTTCCCTCATTGGGATTTGTAATAATTCCCAGTTTTAAATAGAATAACTTCAATTACCCAATGAACGGTCCGGGAATTCAGTGTTTGGCGATAGCAAAATTAGAAACTAATAAATACAAAACAGCAACTAAACGACAATTGTTTATTAAAATCAATAAGTAAAACAGAAACATTGTTACATATGGTACTTGCATTTCAAATTATATACAATTAAATTTGTTCTGTTTATACTCCTAACACAAGAGGAGTGAAAGTTTCGTGTTGGGTTGCTTCACATCAAATACATACTTAGCCGTAACATGAGCAGATTTTTTTTCGCAAACACTCAAGCCGAATGTGGCTGTGGGGTTGTTCTAGAGGGTGTTTGCAAAAATCTGCGATTTTACAATAGTTTAATGGTGACAATGTAACGTTAAAGTCAAGGAACACACAGCACTGTGATTTTTACATTTAGTGGAATACATCTAACATTGAATTTCTAGTTAAGAACTGAAGATAACGATGGCAATAAAACTGCAGAACATGTACCTCCGAACTTCGTAAATATAAAAAACTACTATCACGCTTTTGACATGACTCTTTACTATAGTCATATAATAATAAAATGCTACAATCCTAATTCCAACATCCTTATATTATATGCACATGTTTTTGCAGCTTTATGTACAAGGAAAATATCAGGCAATATAAATTTCAATACTTAGCTTAGAAATTCCCGTAATTACGTAACTTACCTAGACTTATTTAAATTGTTTAATTAATTTACATCAAATAGAAATTTTCCTGATAACATTGAGGTAGATACAATTGGCTATTTGTGGTTCTTAATGTTATAAAGTGGAGAAAATTGAATTTTGTTTTTGTTTAAAGGCAATGTCGGTTGTTTGTATGACTGAAAATTTTTCGAAATCTTAACGTGTTTTATTTATAAACTATTGCTATTCGATATAAATATTTCCATAATGGTACAACAATTTTGTACTTAAGATACTCCCTGAGATGTGCTTGCACAAACGTTATATTTTTAAACATCGACATATAAACATCTAGGTAAGTTTTATAAACATTTTATCCGAAAAACTATTTTTAATTTACAATGTTTGTACTAAGTATTATTAAACACTGAGCTGTATACCGATTAAGTTTTATATATAATTTTGAGGTAGATTTTGTATATTTGTACTGTGTTATATTTTCAACATTAAGTGATCGTACACAGCGTCACAGGCAACAATAAATGAATAATTCGAGTGCCGTTGTATTTACATTCGGTTAACACTTCAATCAGGCACAAAAATCTGTCTTGTACCCGAATCGAAATCTTAACACTGGTGAGGTTTAAATTACATGCTTAATGCCATATGATAACAAACATACAAAACACTTTCATTCGGCATTAACAGACTATATGAAACGTTCAAATTATTTTAACAGCGCGTAAGATGAACACTATATTTGTATATCGTATAATTCCCTGAAGATTTACCTGAGATTAGAATATTGCATACAATTAATCCTTAGCATTGTGTGTGGGTTTCAAAAGTTCATATATTTTGGCAGTATCCTAAAATAAATACTATTGAGGCTACTGCCAAAATACAATCACCAGTTTCACTAGTAAATTAGTTACATGTAGCTTTAACATGGGTACATTTACAGTTACGAATTAAATCTACAATTATTCCTTTTACAATCGTTACGCATCTGAGCCGATTCCAACACATCTGAGGCCCTAAACTTACACATTGCATTGCCACTTTCCGTTTCATGTCCAAATGTTCAGTTTTTTCCGTATTCAACGCACCATTAACAACCGTCAATAACGGGGCTTCAGTTTGGTTAATAAAGAGCAAATGCTTAAAACACCTTTGCAGTAAAAATTAAATTTCTGTGGTGATTTTGCAAAAATCTTGCTGTCTGGGGCGTATCAAACACAATTCGAAGTGGTTTTGATAGGAAAATTAAATGAATAAATTGAGCAAATGGTCCCCCATCATTGACTGTAAATCCGCAAACACTGCCCGAAAACTTAATTTCCTTCCTAGAATTCCGTCACCTTAAAAACCAATTTGTACAAAAGAAAAACAACTTTATAAACTAAACCGAAAACTTAAAACGTAATTTCTCTTAGCGACAATGTATAAGCGCACTAGATAAGTGGTGAAACTATATAATATAAAGCTAAACAACGAACCCTGAATGTATGTAGAACCTTATTGGCTAAGTTAAATTAAGAAAGTAGGTACCCGTATTGATCATACATAAAACGAATTTTTTGCACTCATTCAACTTAACAAAGAGGACAGGAAGTGGCGTGGATCGCGCACAGGACAAACCAATAAATAATGTCAAAAATCGTCCCTGTCCTATGAGTTAAGCCATTTTCAAAACAACCTAGAAACTAAATAACTTATTCAGTAGTAATGATAATAATATAAAAAGAAATGTAACCAGATCTGTTAATATTTCGGGCTGATTTCGGGAGAATCTGCTCAAAGAGCAGCTTTTCCCGAACTTAACGCCGACTTGTATAAATTTTCTATTGTAATGCAGTGGTTTGAGGTAGTAGGTAGTATAATCAGTGTAGCTGTTGAGTGAGCAGATGTGTATATAGTAATCAGCTTCTTATGTACTGGCAGAGGTGTATAACTCTTGTAAACCATGAAAACTAGGAAAATATAAGTAGATGGCAATTTATTGGCAATTTTATTTGAAAATCTTGTAGAATTGCTCAATAATGTAGTAAACCCGCTCTCCTATCAGTTTCCACGGCATCCAAATAGAACGCTTAAATCTATCTAAAAAATAAGTTGTCATGTAAAATGAGGTAGACAAGTTACGATATCTCACAAATGAAAACGAAGCATGTCTCGAACATAATTACCTCGAAAAATATACATATAAATCTAAATATACCAAAAACTTCTCTATTTATACAATGTAGTGACTGACTTATGGTACCCGTAAAGAATATTTATATTATATAAATACTGTAAGTAGTTTGTATTCTGTTGCAGAAATTATTGACTAGTAATAGGCTTATAGAAAACTATGCAGCATGTCGGTGTGGTATGTAACTAGTTTTTGGCTTAATCTGTTTACATGGCAATTACAAAGCGTTTTTATTGCGTGGAAATGTCTAAAAACCGAATATCTTCACTCAGAGTTCCTAATTTATTCGTCTCTAGGAGAACGTGCATATTTCGTTTTTATTGAGCCAAATATCCATAGACAATGGATCTCAATGCTTATCCAGCCCAAAATTGCTTCGACAAGCATTGAGCGCTGTTATCAAATATATCAGTTGCTTTACCAACAGCAAATAATGAGCCAACATAGTTATTATTTTTAAGGCAAATAAAAAACATGTCAAAACCACCATCACTCAAGGGATTTTTTTCGTTTTTCAACGATCAACAAGTTCGCTTTCAAGTGCACCAAGAGCTGAATAAGATTGCAAGGGAATTTATCATCAATGGTAGAAATTTGGGCAAAAAAACAAAATTGAAATCTTAAAAAAACTGAAAATATTTTCTGGTTCAAACACTTACCCAAATCAACGGTTTGATTCATTAAACAAATATTTTAACAGGCAATAACTGCCACTAAAAATCAACAGAAACCATTCAAAAAATAAAAAATGCAAATAAAATCTGCTTATCCTTGCTGAAATGAAACTTAAACAATTTTCTATTAACTGAGGATGTAAATAAATATGTATATGAAAAACTGGTACTGAAAAATGACTCTGCAAACTTTAAATAGGAAACTATGCTTTCCCGTATTCAATAGTTTGACATGTTTTTTTAGAATAAATTTTTAAAATATCAACTTCACCGGACAACGAAACTAAAAAACCTGCTTTAGCCCCTAGCCCTGTCCTACGGCTCGAAACCAAATGAAACCTTAATTCTTTCTAAACCTATATTTTTCCTGAGTTAACTTTAGAACTAACTTCAACTTTGCATACCGAACTTATAAAAAACCTGCGTTGCGTTAATGACTAGCGGGTAAAAGTAGCGAAACTTGAATGGTGAATTTGGAATTCCACAAAGAACATGTCCAGACTTCCGATGTTTTCAGCTGATTGAATCAGACGCACTCTAAATGATACTTAGCCTACAACTTCTCTCGCTTAGAGAGAAAATAACCTTTCCTAAATTAGTTTTAGCGTAAGTACAACAAAATAGTGTTTAACTGCAACAAATTGACCAAAACTCTGAACTGACCTAATGTAGAATTATAGAAAAAATAAACTCATTTCATGCTTGAGGCCTAACGCATGTAGTAGACCCTGCTGTAGGCCTCTACTACATACGGACAATGACCCGTACCATGTCCATTAAATCTACCATTTTCTCTTCCCGCCAATGTGAACGCATGATACAAATATATGGCTCACTGGAAACGACATTGGCCATTGAAACCAGCTGTATAACTGGGAATATTTACATCACAACTTTGCCGGTTTCTGATGTCGCTTCCATTCTGATCCAGTCCATTTAAGGATTCAAAATCTGATGATGGTGCGGAAACGACTTCAGATTCGGCTCGTTTTTATGCTCGCGAGCTATATGCCTTCTGACCGTGTTGTTGCGAGTGAAACTGCGAGTGCAGTACGGACATGGCACTCGGATACCCTGATGTCGTTGCCTAATATGGGCCCTCAGATTGGTTTCGTACCCGTAGAGCCTCTCACAAAAAGGACACTTCAGTTTTTTGCCTGAAACAAAGTGGACTTTTATCACTCATCAATTAGACAACAAATTGCATCTTCATGGAATTGGATTAGATTTTAGCTCGAGGTGCTTGAATTTGGATCAGAAGGAAAAACAGCTAAAGCTACTGTTTCTACTGAGGAAGAAGCTTGATAAATAAAGGGGATCAAAATCAACTATTCCCTTAGACTGCTTCCACTTTATTACTAACTTTGTACATACTTTCCCGACTGTTTCAATTCCAAATCAAAAGTAATTCCTGGGTTTCAGTCATTTATTGTCTCTATTTATCAATTAAAATACGTTCGGTTTCCACCATCATCAGTTTTTCTAAAATAACAGATAGTTAAAAAAATTTTTTTCATTAATTTAAAAAACAATCACAGTTCGTCAACAGCTTGATCATATCACACAGTAAAATACATCACAATTGCAACACTTTTAAACATTCTAAGTTTAATTAGGCCTAACAGGTGATTAGTCAGGACAATCAAATCTGGGAAGAGACTAGAATTCTTTGTTCAGATACTTAAATATTTTTACTTACATGTGTAGCGTTGTTGCTACTTTAAGCCTTGGCATATATTTGGAGTATTAATTTTGCACCCAAAGCGAAATACTGTTTATATTGATTTCTTTTACTTTAAGCTATTTTTCTTTGCATCCTGAGTATATTATTTTTGGTTTGCAAAATTCTTCAATATACCGGGTGTTAGTTAATATTCTATGTTTATTTCATTTAATTAATGTATGATATACTGAGCTAAGATTGTCGGTATCCGATCTGAAATTCATAGCATTGTTATGTTTTTTAATCTGTATCATTTCATGGACTCTTCTCTTATTATAATTAC